TTTATTCCTACATCATCTCGGATGACGGCCGCGCTGATGAAACATCGCACAATCGCCCGGCGAATCTCGGCGCGATTCGTATTGCGAAAGGCGAAGATAAAGGGAAGAAATTTCGATGGGGGGAGTCGAAGACGTCGTCGGTAGCAGACAATAACTCGCGATCGGGAAAGTCGACTGCTTCACGCTGTCTGCTACTCGATATTCACGCGAAATGGAACGCATCGTGGCGGGTGCAATCGTTTTCAGCGGCATTTCGCATCTCCCAGAATTCAATACCAGAAGCTACCTATCTATGCCACCGGGCCGACAAAGTGGATCATGATAAAAAAAAAAAAAAAAAGCTGAGCCAGTATAGAGACTTTTGAGGGTTTCCATCGCGACGAGCGTGTTGCGCAAAGTGTCGATTTAAAAAAAAAAAAGAAAAAAAAAAAAGAACGCGATAGCAATCCAGCCGTAATTGGGACAACGTCATACGGCGCTCTACGCGCCAGCTGCATCTTTTTTTTTGTTTTTTTTTTTTTTTTTTTCCCCAAAGCTGCTATCTCGTGGTCGCTTTCACCCGTTGATAATACCACGTACGCACATACGAGCGTCCCAATCGCGATGATTAATCTTAACACCTCGCGCGGTAAACTCACACACGGTGATCGCGCGAATTACTACGCGCACTATTTGGACGATCTGTTTTTATCTGTACGAAGAGATTATGCTATATTTCAAAATGTAACGTTTTCACGAACGAATAGTTCACTTGGAAGAAGCAATAAAAAATTGTCGATTAGTTTTGTTAGTTACGCGGACGAATTACGTACACACAAAACGATGTGGAAAACGCCTCGCGAAATTGATAACAAATATTACATCGCGCATTCAATATTTACATGTGTTAAAAAAAATATCGAGAGTGAGGAAAGCTCTCCAAGAACGTCGTACCTCAGTTACGACCAATTTCGATGATATCGCGCGCGATCGATCTATATTATAAAATTTTCTCGGATTTGTTATACTCGCCGTATTTTACGACCTGAACAAATAGTGCAACGCGATGAGTATATTTTCCCTTCCCGCGTAATATTATATATATATATATACACACACACACATACATGCGTATATATGTATCTGTTTCTATAATATCGAATTTTCGATAGATAATAACGAATGTGAAACTATATTTCTATATTTAGGCACTACGTTAAACTGAGGATCTAATAACACAACAAAAGTTTCATCACATTTTAAAAGTTTGATATTGTATATCTTGAAAAGCACATATATATACAATGATCTCTCTACTTTTTCATATGAGATTTTCACGTTCCATTTACAGAGTTGATCAAAATAAATGCATTTTCATTGCATTGCTGAATTATAAATGTTGAATAAAAATTTAAAGTGAGAAATCTCGTTGAAGCATTATTAATTTCAACTTAGTTAAGTGACTATTAATAATTCGATATATATATATATATATATATATATATATATGTTTGGACGTATGCATATTTTATCGCAATGACACATTTTGTACATCGATCGCTGTGTATAATGTAAATATTTTATTGAAAAATATATATTTTACTTTTCTTTTTGTAATATTCATTACGATATATCATCGTGTTATCGTATTTGTCAAGTTACAACTTGCGCGAGAGATAGCCCAAGCCAATAACATAGGAAATATACAAACACATGCATATTCCAAGAGAAAACTAACGTTGTAATCGAAGAAAAAGAAATGAAACAAAAAATGAGAAGAAAACTATGTTGTGTACGTCTTATTGATTTCTTGATGTTTGCAAAGTTTTGGTTCTTTGTTCCACAATATGTGGAACTCCCCGGTCGGTTTTATACTTTGGCGAGTATATATTGATATTGGAAGAAGGCAATTGTGTACGTCTTTTGACAAAGACAAAAGTCGCCGCCACCGCCGAGTATCGATCCCCTCGACGATATTCTCCCCCGAGCTGCACACGAGCGAAAAGAAGTGTCCGCGAGATGAACTTTTCGTTATAATAGAGCCGTCGAAAAGGATTCGAGCGGGGGAAGGTCTGTGACAACAAGTGGCGCCGTAACGAGCTTTTTATAGCGACTGCGAGCGTACGTGTGTGTGTGTGTGTGTGTGTGTATGTTTATGTGTATGTGTATGTGTCACTCCTCTCGTGTGCAAAAACGTGACTTTCTCGAGCGCGTGCCTGGCGAACTGACTCGCGCCTCCTTGACCCGCGAAAACAGCTTTTGACATTGTTTACCATCGTCGGAGTTATATATATATATAAGGTATAAGACCGACCTGTCGTCATAAATTGGGTTATCACCGCGGGATCGGAGCGAAGTATTAACGACTCTTTCGAACAAGAAACGTACACAACAAAGCCGACGTTTTCGTGATAATTGTTGCCATTAGCGTGCGAACCGGCTCTTTCATTCGGGGGTTACGCGCGGGACAACACACACTGTGGATTTTCGTGTTCGGAAAATACTCCAGGATATCTTATCTAGCGTGAAGCGCGCGAGTTTTTTTCCAAAACATTTCTATAGTATATTTCTATAATGTCGGAAAAATAACGAAAGCCAATAAGTATATGTGAATACGGTCAATAAGAGCCATTCGCTGGATGTTTTTGCAGTAATATTCGTGTATATGTATGTACACATATATATGTACACATATATGTACGTGTTCATGTGTAAATCTTACACGCGAGTTTTTTGGATTGAAATTTCAATCCTAAAAATCATATAGGATGCTAATTTTGTTTGTTTTTTTTTTAATATTGCAAAAAAAGTTGTTTTTTGCAATATTTTAAAAATTAATTAGGGAGGTATACGGGGTCTCTCATATATGAGATGCAAAATTAGCATCCTATATGATTTTTAGGATTGAAATTTCAATCCAAAAAACTCACTTGTAAGATTTACACGTGAACACGTATATATGTGTGTACATATATATGTATACAAATATTACTGCAAAAACATCCAGCTTTTATTGACCGTATTCACGTATACTTATTGTTTATTACATCAGAGCCTTATATAGATTCTATTAATTGATAACGAAAGCAATCCTATTGGTGAAAGACTGTGTGTTTTTCTGATACCTTTAAGAAAAAAAACTCGCACAACTTTACGCGCAACGTTATTTCAACAATATAAAATAAAAATTGTGCTCAAACTTTGTTTCTATTTCAAGACGTGTTGGCGCAAAAGAAACAAATAAATTTCGTATTGTATAATCACAGTGAAAAAGCTTTTCATTGCAACGCTCGTGAACGCGAACTTATAACTTTTGGATTCGTTAACCGGTTAACCGATAAATTATCATACAGGTAATTTAATTCCAAACATAGTCTATCGACAAGCAATAACGAGAGAGATATATATTTGATCGTTTGTTGATCAAAACCGAACTCAAATTTTCATCTCAATTTACAAGTCGGCCATGTTACTGATTGCAAATGTAATCGCTGTAGAAAAGTTTGCGCGAATTGCGCGTTAAAATTCTCAATAGCCGCGTTCCGTTGAATGCGCACACACGTCGTTGTGTGCAACCGCGTATTTATATTATAATCGTCCGCTGAAGCGTTGCAGAAAGGTGTATTGTGTTATACGCTGAAAAATGCAGCCAATGAGACGCATTATTGTATTTCCGTATTTTTTTTTTTTTTTTTTTTTTTTTTTTTTTTTTAGATACGCTACTTACGCTATTTAAAGCTCCGCAATAGAAAAAAACGTGGATAAAAAGCTTGTTGCAAAGAGTATTCATTGTTTTAGATGGGTAAACCGATGCGGATGTACATATACTTGTCTCGCAGAATCGTAGATTTGAAATGCGCAAACAAAATCGTAAAACAAACCGCGGGAAGCCGAGAGGCGAGAGCTAATAGTTATTCTGTTCAAACGAAGCTGAAACGAAGCTAAAATATCGTCGAAACGAAGCTGCTGCTCGTTTCGACGATATTTTTCCTCAACGACGCGATGCGGAGAGAGTGTATTTCCTACATACACGAATGTGCAATGTGCATTTGTGTAACGTCGTTCTAAAAGTTGCATTTCAATTACATGTGCAGCCGGAAAACAGACAATTTAATTAAATCACTAACACCGTGATTGTGTGTTTTGTTTTATGCGCGATGTGCTATCGCGATGCATCGCGAGGAGGAATTATTTCGCGGGACTCGAGGCAGCAGACGCTGCCCTTCCTGTAAAAATACGATAATATTTTCGCGAAAAAGAACGCGGACGATGAGTCAATCAAATAATATACCGGTTCACCAGTTAACAATCTGAATGTTATAAATCATCGTTCACTATAAGAGGACCGTGACGGCGTAAGGGTCGAGCTGACAATCAAAGTTAGACTGGATATCGACGGATGCTCCATAAATAAGCTTTTTTTTATGCCGTGACGGCGATTGCTTTCGGCACTTTATCGGATATATCGTCTGGCACAACATGCGGGCGCAGAACTGACAATTCTGACTGAGAAATGACATTTGAATTATTCACGTTTGATATTTTTTCTTTTTTGTATATACATGTATGTGTATATATATATACATATATATATACATACATATATATATATGTATGTTTTTAGATGCCTTTTTTATCTAACCGTCGCCGCAAGGAAATTACATTTCGCCAAAGAACGGAAACATTTCCGGAACAAATAGGATTTGTCACGTTGAACGGGTTCATATTGACGGCAATGCGAGCATATAACGTCATAAAGAGAGAATTTGCATTTCAATTTTTTCCACGGAAATCGAAAAGTAAGTGACGTGTGTACGGCAGATTTTGCCGCAATAACCTTAATATTATATAATAATGATACAATTCTCATGTGTGTGTGTGTGTGTGTGTGTGTGTGTGTATAATGCACACAGTCGCGCGCGTTTTGCACCTCTCTCGTGAATTTTTATGTTTTAAGTACGATATTGCGATGTGTATTAAGAAAAACAAGATCACAAAAAAACAAGACTTTTTCGACATACCTGTTTGTACCTCCGTTCTTCCACCATGACCCAGATATTCATCTGCAGAAAAGAACAAAGAAACATTTAAATAAAAGATGACAAAAAAACACCATTCAGAGCGTATATCATTTAAATATATAATGCACAACATTACAAGATAGCGCGGTATCACAATTTCGCGTTGCATTTTCTTGCGCGTCGGATAAACGCGCGCGCGCGCGCGCGCGCGACCTCGTATATAATATAATTATAATCCGCCTTTGCAAACCTCTCGTTCTTATCAACAAGGCATCTAAACAATAGCTTTCATAATCGTCGACAAACAGCCATAGAGCACGAATATTAGCAAAATATCGAATATCTCTCGCGACGAGGAATATTGAAGTATCATCCTCTCGTAAATACAAGGGAAAGCGCATTTCGTTTTACATGCAAATGGCAATCCCAACGCCTGTGAAATTCAAGCTACTGTGACGCGCGTTGCAGTATATACTATCTCGTGATGTAGAAAAAAAACAAAAAAACAAAAAAAAACAAACAAAAAATCCAAGGCCTCCTCTTTCCTTCTTTCCATTTTCTTCCGGCTATTATCATCGAAAGCGGATTCAGGTACTTCGGCGACTTTTAGCCAAGAATTTATTATAATCGCATTCCGAACGTCTTAGAGCAACGGCTGCAAAGTACCTGTTCCGAGGAGGGCTGATTGAAACTCCGAAGGAACATTTGCCTCGTCGGGAAACTTCGAGGCCAATCGTCGCAGATAAATCGGATTTTGCAGTTAACGGTTTCCTTAATTACCTATCCGTCGCCCCATCGCCCCCTAACGTCTTTGTAATAAAGAGCATCGAAGTTTCTCACTTGTGGTGCGATATATATATATATATATATATATATATATATATATGTATACATATATATATCTTCACTTTGTAATAGAATCGCATCAATGCGGTTTCAGCGCCGTTTTCATTCTTGTCTAAAGTAATTAAGACGACGACCGAACTTTTCCCTAACTTTTGTCTCACAATCTTTGCGACTAATTAAAAAAAAAGAAAAACAATGTTTTGATAGCACGTATACATAAGATTTGTTTTAATATTTATAAACCGCGAGAAATTATTAATTTTCTTCAAATCAAGAGAAATCATACGGCTATACTGAACAGGTTGCAAGATGTTTCGCAGCCTGTTAAATTATCAAATAAAGAAATTTCCAAACGCGCGTTTTGACTTAAGTCATACTTAAGTGGGTATTTAATTTGACTGTCAATTACAATATGTTTTAACGATAAATATAAATTAGAAGTTAGTGTAGGTCTCAAAGAATCCTATATTAAAAAAAGCATTTGGACCGAGAAGTGCACGTTTGGAGTCGAATATATCGCACCTATTGTTGCCTCTTTTCCGCGTTGCCGATTGGTTAGTTGGTTGATCGAGCCGAATCGAATCGGGATCACTGACCTCGGCCGCGCGATCGCGGCGGTGTTACTGACTTCGGTCACGTGATTACGGTATATATATGTATAAATACATATATGCGTATCTGTTTGTATTATATATAGATATAGAATATTACATATATACTATATATGTAATATTCTCTGTTT